TCTGAAAGGCCTCAGGAACAAACAAGATGAATTAGGTAATTACTTTGAAAGAAATAAATGACAGGGGCCGGGCCCATGGCATAGTGGTTAAGTGCGCGTGCTCCGCTGCTGGCGGCCCAGGTTCGGATCCCAGGCAGGCACCAATGCACTGCTGGTCAGGCCATGCTGTGCCGGCGTCCCATATAAAGTGAAGGAAGACGGGCACAGATGTTAGCCCAGGGCCAGTCTTCCTCAGCAAAAAAAAAAAAAGAAAAGTTTCCAGAGATGTAAAAACAGCTCAGCCACCACAGCTTGGCTTGATGAGCGGTGAGTAGATCTGCCCCCGGTGTCCGAACCTGCAAACCCGGAGCTGCTGAAGCAGAGTGTGAGAACTTAACCACTACACCACTGAGCTGGCCCCCATATATTGTGACTTTTAAATTTAACTCTAAGGGAAAGAAATAAGCATTTGCTAGTTAAAATTTTGAATGATAAATTATCTGGCAAGCTGAAGTGAAGGAAGATATGTTCTTCTGAAACTGGATAAGAATGACAAAAGAAATGACATCACAAATAGTAAAGACAAGAAGAACTTCAGGAAAAAATGTGCAATTCTAACCACATGTGTGTATTCTAATCGCGTATCAGTTATGCTCCTAAAGAAGACTTGCTCTGTACAAGTAGAAGGAAACAAAGTCATTTAAAAATAGGGGAGAATTTGTGCACAATTATACTTTTTAAAAGCAAAGGAGAATGACTTTTTACAAAAATATAAAAGACAAAAGCTGATATAACAAGACTTTGGAATTAGAATAGACCAATTGAAAAAGAAAGAATAAATGACCTGACAAAATGTAACCACTCCTAAGACTTCACCTACACTCTAATAATTCCCAAATCCTGCTCCAGCCCAGACCTCTTCTCTGAGTTCTGGGTCTGAATATCCCACTGCCACGTGGTCACAGACATGCAAATATCCCTCCACACCACAACCCTGCCTTTACCCACCCCACCCCTGGCCAGTGAGCGACTTCAGTGCCCATACTGTTGCCTGAACTAGAAACCTCTGAATTCATTCCTGGTCCTTTTCCATGCTCTCTGGCCACCCCTTGATACCATCCATTTGTATTAGTTTGCTGGGGCTGCCATAACAAAATATCAGAGACTGGACGGCTTAAACAAAAGAAATTTATTTTCTCACGGCTCTGGAGGCTAGAAGTCCGAGATCAAGATTCTGGCTGATTTGGTTTCTGGTGAGATCTCTCTTCCTGGCCATGCAGTCCTCACAGGGCCTTCCTGCAATGCATATGCAAGGCAGTGGGAGCTCTCTGATCAGGGCCCCACCCTTATGACCTCATTTAACCTTAATTACTTCCTTAGAGGCCCCATCTCCAAATATAGCCACAGGGGGGATTAGGGCTTCAACATATGAATTTGGGGAGTGGGGGCAGCTCCTCTCACCAGCCATTGATAGCAGTTACTCTGGGGTACTTCTGCACCCCTCTAAGGTCTCAACCAAACACACAGACAGGCCATCTAAGCATGCCTGTCCAGCCATGCCTCTTCCCTTCCCTTGGTGTTGGGGGTCTAGGGGTAACTCCTTCACCACAGTTCAGTCAAGACCTTTCCCCAAGGCCAGCAGCTGCTCTGCACCCTCACCTCAAGGGGCTTCTGCCAACACAACCTGGTCTCAGGTCTGCATGAAGTCTGACCAGCACACTCAGCAGAGAACTATGTGACTTTGCATATGTTACCAAACCTTTCTGGGCTTGAATCTTGTTGAAGGTATCTGGCCCCAGCATCACCATGTGGATAAATAAACCAACCTCCTTGGTGCCAGGCCCTTGGCAAACAATATTTCTGGACCTGTGAAGTTGGTATTATTATCTTCATTTCAAGAAACTGAGGCTTGGAGAGATGCTCTGCCTGAGGCCACTACTTACTGATCTGGGGAGCAGATCTGCCCAACTCCACAGCTGGTTCTGCTGCATAGGCTGTGTCTCAGGAGACATAGAGGTATCCGGGAAGCTGGACCAAGCTCTGTGCGTCCAGGGACGTAGTCTCACTTGGAGCTGCACGTCCATCACGGGTCACCCCAGGTGCTGGTCTGTGGTCTAGGGGCCTGTGGGCTTGAGGCTCCTGCTGGACAAGCAGGCAGGCGCGTGCTTAGGACCACTGCTGGCTCTAAAGACACTGTCTTGCTGTGCTGGGTAAACAGCCCACTTTCCATGCCCGTCCCCTAGGCTCGCCCTGCCCCACTCCCACTGCCTATTTAAGCAAGAGGCTCCAACTTCACTCAGCCCAGGCACCACCAGCTTCCGGAACTAGGAGAGCAGCGCTGCAGGCCTTGCTTGCTCACTCGGGGATGAAAGGTCCTTCTGTTTCACCATTTCTTACCGGGTGCGTTTTGAATGATGATGCTGGGCTGTAGTGGGAGCTGATTCTGCAGGCCTTGGAGTGTACTGAGGTGTGTACTGGCAGAGGGAGGCTCTGATTGAAGTTTTCCCATTTCTAATCCCTGACTTGATGTGATCTTATTTTCAAAGAAGGAGAAGGGCTGTAGTTTGTGAAAGGACAGAGGAGAGCATACTTCAAAACAAGGTCTGGCTCAGAATATCAATGATCTGACATGTTTTTCTTTTCTTTTGAGAAAAGAAAAGGTGCTGTAATTTCAAGGTTGAAGAGATTCCATTTCCCCTCAGGAACCCCTCCCTAAATAGTCAGTTCTTGTCATTTAATTCTATTTTGAAAAGACACACAAGATTTTTCAGAAGAGCTTGGTAGGGGAGAGAGGCTGTGCAGCTGGTGGGGGACAGTTTGGGAACGCCTGAGAACAAAGACCCTCCTTGACAAACTTCTCATTGAGAGACGGGAGTGAGCTCCTCCTCACTCACTTCTAGAGAGGGTGGTGGGGGCTGAGAGTCCCACAGGCTGGATGCCTCAAGAGAGGCCTGCCTCCTTCGTGTCCACTTCCAGATACTTGCCAGCCTGTGGTCTAGGGTCAGGTTAGCCCAGCAAGAGGATGAGGGATAGGCACTCATGCAGATCATCAGCCTACTGAGGGTGAGGAGGCAGGCATCCCAGGTACAGGGGACAGGACCTCCCCTGGAGGCCAGGACAGCAGGTCACCCTCTGTCCTCCCAGCAGGCTGGACTCCCCAGGCTTTGGGTGGAGAGGGGTGCCTGCCAGGTGCTTTACTCAGAGGAAACAAGCCAGGGTGTCCACATGGAAATAAGGGCCCCTAGGGGCACAGAGGTCACCTCGTGTAGAGCGAGGACCTAGGGGCTCTGTCTTCCTTCTTCCCACCCTGATCTGGCAGCATCAAGTTCCCATGCTCGCTTGGTCCTGTGACCCCCAGTGTTACAGGGGAGGGAGCATCTGAGGCTCAGAGGTTAAATGACTTACCCAAGACCCTTCAGCTGATGGATGACAGATCCAGGATTAGAACTCAGGCCTCACTGGAGTTTTTCAAGGTAGATTCCTTTTTTTTTTTTTTTTTAAAGATTTTATTTATTTTATTTTTCCCCCCAAAGCCCCAGTGGATAGTTGTGTGTTGCAGCTGCACATCCTTCTAGTTGCTGTATGTGGGACCCGGCCTCAGGATGAACGGAGAAGTGGTGCCTCGATGCGCACCCGGGATCCGAACCCGGGCCACCAGCATCGCAGCGCGCGCACTTAACCACCAAGCCACAGGGCCAGCCCCTCAAGGTAGATTCCTAATGAGGAGAGCCAACCGTTTGCCACGTGAGGAAATACTCCCGCCAGCCCTTCTGCAACATCTTTGGCTTGGGCACAGAGGGATTGGGATTCAAATTACAGATTCTTCTGAAACAGTTTGTGGGATTCGCAAAATAAATGTATATAAAAGATGGGGGCTGATCCAGAGGGGCCCTGGGGATTAACGGTTGCCTCTGGGATGTGGAGGTGGTAAGAGTATTTTGGGCTGGGCAGCAGAACTGGCTTGAAAAGGTGGAGAGCCAAGGAACTCCGAAAGGGGCTGAACTTCCTGGGCCTGAGTCCAGGGGATGGGGTCAGGAGCCAAGGAAGAGCCTGGGGCTGGACTAAGGAGCCAGGACCGCGCTTGAGGCCAGGGGGCGAGGTCAGAGAGCTGTGTGGGGCTGGGAATCAGTGGGCCGGGCCAGAGTGTCGAGGCCGGGACCACAAATCGGGGGTGGGGCCAGGACCTGAGGCCTGGGGCGGGGCTAGACGGGCGGGGCGGGGCCAGAGAGCGGGACCCCCCGCCTCAGAATCCCTCTGCGGCGCGCGAGTCTGGTGCAGCGGGTCCTCCGACTGGGTCTGTGAGGGATGCGGCGAGCCGGTGGTGTCGTGTCCAAAGGCCTCCGCTCACACGAGTGCCCTCCCACCTGTTCCCTCCGAAGACCCCCATGGGTTCACAAAGTGTCCCGGCTGAGCCTCCCCTTCGCCGGCCTGTCTACCTTCCACCTCATCTGCTGCTAAATCCCTCTAGTTCTTCCTCTCAACGCGGCTTCCTCCCTTACCCCACTCACGTCCCGGTAGCCACTGTCCCTCACCCCGGGCCTGGGCTGAACTCTCCCCCACCCCCAGTTATCTTTGCGAGGCTGAGATTACATGAAGCTCCTGGGGAGAGCTCCGATTGTTCTACCTTTGCCTATCAGATCAAGCCCAGGCCCCGCGGCTGCAGCTCTGAATTCGCCTCTCCCCGCCCCTCACCCCGCACATCCCCGCCCTGGCCCGGGTCCGGCTGGCCACGTGGAGGTCTCATCCCACCCGTCCGCGGAGTCCTACCCACTTGTCAACCCTCCTACCTCCCGGGCCTATCCAGGTCTGTCTCATAAACCTCCGCCCCCACGCCCTCCGGCTGCACTTTCTCCGCTGGGACAGCCGGGCCCACACCCTCTCCTTGGCGACCTGCAGGGTGTGGCGGTGCCTCCGGAGCAGGTGGGGCCCCTTGGTCTTTGTACCTGGCTTACCTGTACTGGGCTGCTGAGTGGCTATGGGCTGAGTTCCGGGCACCTCTGTGAACTGCTCGTCTCCTTTCAGGTCCTTGACTCCGCAGTGACGCTCCCTCTGCAGGCGGAAGGACAAGAAGGTCCCAGCGGCCCCTCAGGTAAGACAGGGGCTCCTGGAACCAGGGGAGAAGGTGGTGTTCCAGGCCTCCCGTCACAGGCTACGTATTAATGTTTTGTATAAAGAGGTGCTGTGTGAGATTGTTTAAGATAAGGTTCTGCTGCTGTGTTAAAGAGTTTGAAACACACGTCTGGGGTAAGCAATCTGGGGCAGGCAGTTTGGTCCTATTCTGAACCTACCCTCGTGTGGAGTACAATGCCAAGGGAGGGCGTATGTCTGACACACCCAAATCTATGGGAAAAATACAAACTCCTTCAATATGTAGGGGAAGGATTGAGGCAGCACATCACAAAAGGGAAGGAATACAATTTATTTTTATTTATTTTTTCTTTTTGAGGAAGATTGGCCCTGTGCTAACATCTGTTGCCAATCTTCCTCTTTCTTTTTTCTCCTCAAAGCCCCAATACCTAGTTGTATATCATAGTTGTAGAGCTATGGCTCTTCTATGTGGGACACTGCCTCAGCATGGCTTGATAGGCGGTGAGTAGGTCCACGCCCAGGATCCGAACCCGGGAAGCCCGGGGTGCAGAAGCAGAACCAGCAAACTTAACCACTACACCTCTGGGCCAGCCCCAGAATACAATTTAAATATCCTGGAAAATGTAAACAGACATCATTATCCACTAAACTATAAAAAAAAAAAAAAAAATTTAGGGCCGCCCCGTGGCTTAGTGGTTAAGTGCACGTGCTCCGCTACTGGCGGCCTGGATTCGGATCCCGGGCGCGCACCTACGCACTGCTTCCCTGGCCATGCTGAGGCTGCGTCCCACGTACAGCAACTAGAAGGATGTGCAACTATGACATACAACTATCTACTGGGGCTTTGGGGAGGAAAAAAAACGAGGAGGATTGGCAATAGATGTTAGCTCATGGCCGGTCTTCCTCAGCAAAAAGAGGAGGATTAGCATGGATGTTAGCTCAGGGCTGATCTTCCTCACAAAAAAAAAATAAATAAATAAGTAAAATAAAAATAAATAAATTTAATGCTAAAACCCAGAGCTGGTAATGAGGCTATGAAACAGGCATTCTCAAACAACTTTTGTGGAAAGCAGTTTGGCAATGTGTATCAGAAGCTTTAAAGTTTACCTTGTAATTCTACTCTTGAATAGGTCCCAGAGAAATAATTCAAACTACTGGGCCATTCTCAAGAATAAAAGCAGAAACTAGCAACACAGTGACCCCCTGACAGTCGGGAACTTCAGTCCTGGAGCCAGGAGAGCAAGACCATTATATGAACCTGCTCCCTCCCAAATATTGGCAAATTAAATGTTTTCAGAGTTGATGGGGAAGTCACCAGGCTGGGGTAGAGAGATCTGGGGGTCCAAGGTGATGATGATGGATGGAAGAACAGAAGAGGAGGTGGATGAGGCCGGCAATCCACAGGGAGAGAAGAAGGTTATTGGGATCTTCACTAAGGGCTCGGTGGGGGTGGGTGACAAATATAACCTTCAGGGGACTGGGAAAAAGGGGTGAGGATCTTGTTTTGTGGGAATTGAGGCAGCAGGACAAGGGGGACAGTGTGAGGACTTTGTTATCCTTCCTCTGGAAACTTGTTCTGGAGGTAGGGGGGCTTGGTTCTGGACAGTGCTCATTTACATATTTTGAATATGTTTGCATATCATTTGTATTCAGCCTTGGTGAGAAAGGTAGTGAGGAAAGGGAAATTGGAGTCAGGTGACCTGGCTGCACCTATCGGGACTGCCATTTACTTCTCTGCGTCTCAGTTTTCTCATCTGTCAATGGGGCCAACAGTACCCACTTGGGGTGGTTGTACAGTGTAGATGCACCATCAGTGTGAAGAGCACATTCTGTGAAATGTGTGCTGTGCAACATCTGCCCAGACATCCCAGAGAGGTGGATCTATTAGTTCTGCCTTTCTGATGCTCATTTCTAGTCTCCCTCATGTCTTTGCCATGGACTGGCTGGTAGCTGTGCCCCCACCTCACCTGAGAGAATGGAAGGTAGGGAGGGAATGACTTTGAGGTCCTGAGCAGGCCACAGGTGGCCCCAGATGAGCTGGATTGCTGAAGTCACTCTGGCTCTACTCCAGGTCTGCAGGGGGCAGGGCTGACACTTGCCAGTCAGTCATCAGGTTCCTATTATCTGCCTACTATGTGCCCAACACACAGCTAGGGTCAGGTGATGGGATAAAATACTGAGTGCCTGCAAGGTGACACAGGCCTCAGAGATAGAAAACAGACCCCCATTCCCCAGGACTAGAAGCTGAAGTAGGGGGTGAGCACCTCACCCTCCACCCACAGAGCTCCAGGGCTGCTAGTGTCAGCCATGTGGGCAGGGTCCCTGGTCCTGCAGAGACACCCCGTAGGGCCACACACATAAGGCACTCCCTCCTTTTGTTTGGAGGGATGAAATTGGCCACATTGCTGGAGCCTCCTTTCTCCGTTCTGTTTCTAGCTGGGTAGATCTGAAGGTGTGAGGGGCTGGTCACCTTTCTGGTGTGCAGACTGCAAGCATGCAATAAATGCACAGACACTACCAGCTGTCAGAGAGAAATGGCCTGTTTGAGCCAGGCCTCAGGTCTTTAGTTATCCCTGGGGCCATAGAGTAGGGAACTGGCTGGGGTTGGTGAAGAGACCATCGTTGTGACTTCTGAACCCTGAGCCCCTCTGCTGAGGCCTCACTCCTTCATTCAGATGAGGGCTTCGAGGGAACAGCCCCAGCAAAGGTGTGGAGGTCTAGAAGGGTGTGGTGGGGAACTGCGCAGGTCAGGGGCCCCTGGGACTCCAGAAGTAGGGGATGTAGAGCAATCAGGCTGCTGGGCCTAGCCTGCCCTTGCCTGCCAGATGCATCGGCCTGGGGTCAGCAGGCGCCACTGAAGAGTTTAACAGGGGAGCAATGTGGTCCAATGTATAGTTTAGAAAGATGCCACCAGCTGCCATGTGGATCAGAGGAAGGGAAGCCAGCTGCAGGGAGACCAGGTGGTGGCTATTGCAGTGTCCAGGTGAGAGAGGGTGAGGCCTGAACTGGGCATGGCTGTGGGAATGGTTACAAGGGGTTAGGGAGGCAGAACCGTGGGCTGGTGCGAGGAGGCAGGGTATGGAGGAAGCTCAGGGCCAGGGGACTACTCGGGAGACAGCTGGTGTTGGGGAACTGGAGGAAGAGGAATGATGAACTTTTAGGGGAAGATGGAGAGCTGTCAATCAAATTCATAGGGTCAGAGATCAGGAGACACCTGGGCTGTCACCTAGGAACAGGTGACCCTCGAGGGATCAACTAAGAGAAGAGAGAAGAGGCAGGGGAAGGTCCAGCTCCCAAGGGGTAGGCAGGGGAGGAGGGGACAACAAAGGGCTCCGAGAAGGAGTAGTCCCAAGGGCCGGAAGGTAATAAGGACAGTGGCCCGGGACCAAGGGGCAGAGAGCTGACGGACAGATGAGGATCAAGCAGCCTTGGTCCGGCCCCGTCGCTTAACGGTTAAATGCGCGTGCTCCGCTGCTGGCGGCCGGGTTCGGACCCCGGGCGCGCCCCAACGCACCGCTTCTCAGGCCATGCTGAGGCCGCATCCCACATACAGCAACTAGAGGGATGTGCAGCTATGACATACAACTATCTACTGGGGCTTTGAGGGGAAAAATAAATAAATAAAATCTTTAAAAGAAAAAAGCAGCCTCAACCTCCCTTTGGGCCTATTTCTTTTTTTTTTTTTTTTGAGGAAGATCAGCCCTGAGCCAACATCCATGCCTATCCTCCTCTTTTTACTGAGGAAGACCTGCCCTGAGCCAACATCCATTGCCAATCCTCCTCCTTTTTTTCCCCAAAGCCCCAGTAGATAGCCGCACATCATAGTTGCACACTCCTCCAGTTGCCGTATGTGGGACGCGGCCCCAGCACGGCCGGAGAAGCAGTCCGTCGGTGTGCGCTGGGCACCCGAACCCAGGCTGCCAGTAGCGGAGCGCTCTCACTCAACTGCTAAGCCACGGGGCCGGCCCGGGCTTATTTCTTAAAGCAAATCTAGTTGAAACTGCACAGACTCTTTTCTCATTGCTACTGACCTCTGTTCTGGAAATTTTCTTCCCAAAACTTTACCAGAAAGCCTGGTGAGACGCCCTGTCCACCTTCTGTCTAGCAGTGGGGGTGGTGCAGGTAGCCTCAAGCTGGGTGGCTGCCCAGACCCCCAGCCAGCCAGAGGGTCACTCAGCCCTCCCAGAGTGCAGGACAGACCCAGCGAGGACGCACTAGGCTCTCACTGCTCTGAGCGGAAGGATTACTCCAGGCTAGCTTGGTCTGCATGGTGTAGGTGGATGCTAACCGGACATTCTAAGCATTTAAGTTAAACAAATCAAACTAGGGATAAACTGTAAGTGAATGCATCTGATCCTGCTCTCAGGCCCATTTTCCACAGCTGCTCCTCCCCCCAGCGTCTCCTCCAGGGCTGCCGTCTAGGATCTGGGGGTCATTGTGGTCCTCGAGGGCGTGGCCTGGCAGGTAGAACTTCCTGCCAGGAAGGCAGGAAGTGACTCCTCCTCCCTTATGCCTACTCTCAGCTCTCTCTGACTCTCTACCTTACCTCCCTCCCTTGCTCACTGCTTGCTCCACACACCACCCACCACTTTCCTGTTCTAGGAACTCTAGGAGGATACCCCCACACTCAAATATACACACCTAGAAAGCAAAGGCTCTGCCCCCAGAAATTTCCCAGGGCCCTTGCTGTGAAATACCCCCGAGCAGTCACAGTGCTGCATCTGACTCATAGGCAATGGATGCCGAGCGCCCTCAGCCTCCCAGCTTAACAGTTGCTGCCCTGCCCCTGCCCCTGGCCCTCATCAGCCGTGGCACGCACCCGTCAGCCATGATCTCTTCCCCGCTGGTCTTTGCTGCGCCAGCGGACAAATGACTAATTCATAGTCTTATGCAAATGAAGCTCTAAGTCCCACCCCCCAGGCAACAGACTCTAACAGCCCCCATCCCTTCCCAGTTATAGATTCTGGAGCAGCCCCTTCACAGCCCTCACAGGCAAGTGAG